CTGGCCAGGGTTCAACGAGTGGTGGCCACCGAACCAGGCAGGGAATCACTAAGGAAGGCGGAATGGCTCACAAGCTCCGACGCCTGGATGTACATGAGGTGGTCACCCAAGCTTCGAAAACTTGTGGCCGACGAGAACAAGGAGCCACTGGTTCACGACGAGGCTGTGAGAATCATCTCAGCTCTCCAGAAGTCAATGCGAGGAGAGATCATCCACCGATTCCAGAGCACGATCAACTTGGCAAAACTGGAAGAACAAGGAGCGCAGCAAGCAATATTCCATCTCGGGGTATCTCTTCGTGGTTCCGAAGCCACGGAAGTCTACGAACAGTTCCGGAAGCTAGCGGGGTCATCCTTGACGAGCCTCGCGGGATTCAGCATGAAGGTGGACGACCAGCAGCGCCCGCCCATGGCGCAGCATCTTGCCCAGATGACGTACGGAGGAGGCCCGAGCATCACACCATGCATGCCCCGATCAAGTCGGACACGCATGCCACATCGTCAGCCGGCTCCGCTACCATCAACAATACCAATAGCCCACCTCCTCCCCCCAATTCTCCCATCCCTAATGATAACACCTTTCTCCCCAACTTTTCCCTCACCAACCCTAACAATCATTGTTACATGAATGCCACCATTTACTGCCTTGCTTTCCTCGAGCATCTCACATGTAAGCAGATCCTGCCCGCCGCCTTTCACAACACTGTCCACAGGCAGCTGAGTGCTCTGAAGAACTTGGGGTTCAACCTCCTGGGGTGGCGGAGGCCAGACCATCAGCACGATGCTGCAGAGTTTATAGACTTCCTTGTGCCACGACTGTGCCCATCTCAAGCACACCACACATGGAGTGCTAGAGTGGCACATGCAGGTGGGGTGCACCATGTTGATGGTGCAATGCTTTCAAAGTGCCTCCCACTCAGCTTCCTTCATCTTGATAGCCCGGATCCCCAAACCCTCATCAATCGTTGGCACCAACAGGAGGAAGCTCATGCGCTGGACAGCCTGACACCCTGGTTTTTCCTGCAGCTTCCCCGAAGCAGCAGAAGTGATCATGGTAACCTTCAGAAGAACCACAACCCGATCATCATCCCTAAAACCCTGCAGATACCTGTTTTCGAAAGCCCAACCACCCTAACAACGAGGTGGCAGCCATACAAACTGGTAGCCTGCATATTGCATCATGGGCCCAGCCTCACCTCAGGACATTATAATGTGCTGAGCATCAGGGGTGCACAAAGTCATGTTTTGGACGATGCCAAGACAAAAGAGCCAGCTACGGATGCATTCCTTGAGAGCGCCTCTTGCAATGCATACATCCTCGTGCTGGCTCTTGACACAACACCAGACTCGCAGTCAAGTATCGCTCAAGATGGAAACATCAGCCATGTCGGACGAGAGCGGTATGAATCATTTTCTGTTGCGGAAGTACGGCGACACTTGGACGGCGGCTCATCTCAGCTTGATGGAATACCAGTTGAAGGAGCTAGAAGCGCAGATGATGTTGATGCAGCGTCATGTGGACAACATGCAGTCTCAGATGCATTCGCTTCAACTTCTTGTGCACCGTCATGCATATCTGTACAGCAACAGAGTGACGAACAAGGCCAGACCACACAAGGTGAGAGTTCTTGATTCTCTGGACTGAGAAAGAGGGTCGGCCACATATCTTTAAGACTCATGTGCAAAGCACATAGGCGCCTCGGCGCACACTATTCGTTCCCATGCCTTTACGGCACACGTGCCTCGCTGTCTCGAACAGCCGATGCTGACAACAGATCAGCACTGTTTAGGCGCTCGCTAGCAAGAGACGGGACTCTAGCTGCGGAGGAAGAAGCTGATGATGACGATGATCATGATGAGAGCGAAAGCAAAGATGGCGCTTGCTTGCGGAGAACCTGGATAGACAGTGGCTCAAGCTCTCTGTTTTGCTCCTGATGGACTCTGCACACAAGAAGCTTCGCGCCGGGAGAAACATCGGCAAGCGGAGGAAAATTTAAGTCGTGACCCAAACCTCCCACAAAGTCCTCTTCTTGTGCAGATTAGCCTCCAGGCCACAACTTATACCACACATTCTGCTTTATACCTGCTTTCTGCCACTGCTTTGCCTGTTCCAGGATGGTAATAAAACCTGCAGCGAAGGCGAAGATCCTGTCCTTCTGGGCCTTGGGGAGCAAGGGCAGGAACGTCGAGGCCGCAATCTCTTGCAGGTAGATTTCCATAACCCGCGCAGAGGCCCACCTACCTCTACGTCGGCAAAGCTCACTGTCCTCCGTCTGCTGAAGCATGTAGGTAGCGCCGCCTGGTCTAAACGACCCCAGATCAAGGGCCCTCACGCTGACCGGAGGCGGTGAGGCCCCAACTCGTTTCAGCAGCACGTCGAACCTTTTTCTGAGGGTTTGAGGAGACATAGGCCATAGCATCTCAAGCGGGTGCAGCGGGGAGAAGGCGAGGATAATGACCTGAACCAGATCCTCGGCCTCGACCTTCGCTGCTTGGTGCTTTGACACCGCCCTCGAGTCTTCGGTTCTTCGATCCTCACCAGCACGAAGCTCTGAGAATATGCCACATCCTCTGGCAGCACCAGGAGCTTTCTCGAAGTTTTGAGGACCTCGCCAATCCTCATTATACCACCAAAAGCCAGGGCAAAACATCCAGCCTCCCTTGTCCACCCCCAAAGTAGACAGGCGGAGAGGACAGCGATCAGCACCGGTGGCGGGATGGCCGTGTGGTGGTTGTAAGGTTCCTCAGCGAGCCAAGCGAAGCTGAGGTCCCAAGCCGCCTGAACTTGTCTCCTGAGGATAGGTTTTGCAGACGTCACTGCATTAATAGTTTCGGCGAAATGCCAGTACGGCCTCCCAGACCCATACAGATCCCTTCCGTAGCGAACCAAAGCTTCAGCAACCTCCTCAGCATCAAAGGGTTTCCTTTCCAACAAAGAGTGCAGGTCAGTCCGAGATACATCGAGGAGCCATTGCGAAAAAGCTGCGGCTAAGTCAGCCCTGTTGGAACCCGTCCTAGGAAGAACAGCCCTCCCAGCCGGCAAACCTAAAGGGGACCTCCTCTCAGCTCGGGCTCGGTCGGCCGCGTTGCGGGGCCCAAGAAGGGCAGAGGAAGAAAATCCACAGAGGAGAACGGCGAGGAGGATCATGAAGAGACTGAAAGGCCCTTCTCCCGGGTAGCCCAAGGTGGCATCAAAGTCAACACCAAGGTCAGAGGAGTATGCGGGCGGAGGCCTCTTCCGCCTCCGAGGCAGGCGGAAGCCAAGCTTGCGAACTGTTTCCCAATCCTGAGCAGGGACCTTGTCTGCATCCTTCACGCAGAAGGCGACGGCAACCTTCCTTGTGCCGACCCACTCTCGAGTCAGGTGGGTGCGGTGGCCATCTAGGTAAACTGGGCCAGCTTGAGGGTCAAGGAGTTCCCCATACCTTTCTGAGCCCTCAATGTTCTCAAGAGCGTCTTCACAGCCTCCTTCAACCCATATCTGGCCTCCGGAGAAGCGCGAAAGCGCACAAACAAAGCTGGGCACACCAATGGCATTATTCCTGTCTTTGTGAGGGGCACTGCGAACGTTCTGAAGGAGGGCAACTGAGGTAAATACATGCCCGGGCGCAGCTCGCTGCACTACACAACAAGCTAGCTGCGTGGACAAAGGAAACTTGAACGAAGCTTTCCTGACACCTCTGAAAGGGCCCTGCGAGTAAAGGCCGGTAGTCCAGAACTTCTCATCACCATTGAGGCCGAAGCGCCTCTTCCCGGCTTGTGGCAGCAAGTCAAGCAACTCACCTAGCACAAAGGGCTCAAGCTGCTTCGAGGCCAACATAGCTCTCGCGAAAACCTCGGCAGGATGCTCGCCGGGAAGAGGGCTGTCAAAGAGAGAAGGAGGGGAGACGGTGGGCAGGCTCGAAACGGATAATCAGCAAGGGCCTGCACGAGATGCGGTCTGCTGTCAGGGGCAACGACAAGCAGGCTAAGCCTAATCCATCCAGCCTTTGCTTTGCTGCTCCCGGACAGGCTGCACAGCTGAACCACAGACTCCTCAGAGAGCCCATCGAGGGCCGAATGAGGTGCTGGTGGCCGAAGCTGGACACAGCGTGTCGGGTCGTCGGACACGTTCAAGCGAGTGGGGCCAAACACATAGGCCGGGTAGATGCCTCCCCTGACTGACAGAGCAGCAGCCCTCCTAAGGCTGGGTCTGAGGAGGCGAGTGGAAGACCTCCCCTTTGCAAGAGCTCCTCTGGCACACGAGGAGTCTAAGATCATCACTGGTCTGCAGCACTCACCTCCCCTGGCAAGGTGTCTCAGCACGGCAACTGCAGCCTCAGTCTCTAAGGCATTTATGTGTCTCGCTTTGTCCCATCTCCAGGAGAGGCCATGGCCCAGGCTCCTGAAGAGAGGAGGTCATTGACGACAAGGTTTTCAAGGCCTGGCTTTTGCGGATCCTCCCTTGGCTTGGCTCTCAGGAGGTGGGTCAGGCACTGGGCAATACCTGAAGGGGCAGTGCCTGGAACCTGTCGACTGCGCAAGAAATCCTCAGGCAGAGGGGATGTAGCAAATCTCTTCAGGGCAGGCAGCTGCAGGCGCCGGAGGTAGCAGGCGTACACCATCAGAACGGAGCAGGCCGCTTGCAGCAGGAAGTGAGAGGAAACCGGAGCCAGGGGGGAAAAGGACGACTGCAGGGCACCTAGCTCGAACTGCGATCTTGAAGAGGCCCACAACTCGCTCAGCAACCTGGCCCCGTGTTTGCTTCCTACCCTTTGGAGGGCGCTGCCCGGCAAGCTCGCCAGTAGAGAGGTGGCCCGATGGGAGCACCGCCACAAAGCTCCTTGCACGGCCGGTCCAAATCAGGTGGATGGCCCACTCAGCAAAATCTCTCCCTGTAACATCATACTCAGCTGAGTACCTCAGGTCTATCACGCAATGCATGCCGACCCACTAAGTAAGCAGAGCACATCAAAGTCAAAGGCCAGGGGCTTCGTAACTATATCCTGAACAGGCCCGGGGTCGAGTTCATCGGAAGAATCATCGTCGGCAGGGGGGCTTGCTGAGTCGAGGCGGGTGTAGTGGCCCTTGCGGTCCGCCGACAGCCACACTGCAGCAACAACTTCTTCGCACTGCTCAAGACAGCAAAAGGCGCCTTTCTTAGTGGAGGCGTCCGAGCAGAAAAGAGTGTGGTGGAAACCGGCGGAAACATTGCTTGACATCACCGGAACCAAAGTCGCGAGGAGGACGAGCTCCTGGGCGACCTTCCTAGGAAGGGGGCGTAACAGGCTGCCCGAAGCGGAGCTGGGCCCCAACTTCCCTAAGGCAAAGAAGCCATCCAAAGCCGAAAAGAGGCACCGCCTGAACATCAGGGCGGCAATCCATGAGCCTGCAAGGTTTGAAGCAAGCTCCTCACTGACAGCGGGCAGAGCTGAGGTTTTCAAGCTGATGATGGCAAGGGCCAGCAGCTTTCCTGTAGGGGCCGACACGAACACTCCCCCACAGTCCAGGGCAAGGGCGGAGGAGTCTATCTGAGCTCCAGCGGCAGTGATGCAGTCCGAGCCAAGAACATCTTTATTGTCAGACCCCTTTACACCAGCTCGCTCATACTCTGCCTTGGCCCGTAGCACGCGGCGGGTAGACTCGGCCTGACAGGTCGGGCAAGCCTTTTCCTCAACCGACAGCACGAAATAATCATCTATCACGAGGGCTTCCCAAGGACCCGACCGCGCCGGAGGGCGCCAACAAATCAGCCCCCTGAAGCAATGCGGCATGGGCCTCCGTAGAGAACTCTACTCCAATGTGATCGCCCTGATACAGCGACCTGAATGCTCCATAGACGGGCGTGGCTGGATCAAAAAGAAGCGAAGGGGGAATGTCGGCGGTGCAAAGCCTGGCCGCCCTGATCCTTCGGAGGCAGTCGGCTTCCTCCACATCATGAGGGCTAGGTGAGGCGGCGGCTCTTGCTGCTGCTAAGGTCGCAGTGCCTTCTAGGTCACCGATCTTGAAGCACGGGCCGATAGCATTCGACTCCGCCCTGGCACTGCTTATCATCGACTGATGATTCGAATCGGCTCTGTCCGTGGATGAGCCGATGAGCCGGTAGCCACGGGGGACTGTCAAGGCGGTAAGCAACTGGCCCGGTGGCAACGTAGTGGACGGTCCCACGACTCTCCCTTCCAAGCCATTGGCTCCACGGCGATCCCCTATTTGTCTGTCCGACACCTCGTTCTTGTAGGCAGCAAACACTCTCGTCAGTTCCCTCGGCTGCTTCGGCTCGAGAGCCAGGAACAGAAGGCCGCGAGCATCCCATAGCTTCAAAATGCCAAGGGACCTGGATGGATCCTCGCCCACGGCATCAGGGAAGGGGAGCTCATTCCAAGGAATGCTCCTCAGGATCTTGGGCTCCTTGTACGGCATCTTTAACTCAGCTCCCAAGTAATCAACCAGAGGCCAGGCTCCATCGCCCGAAATCTTCAAACGTCCCCCGGGTCAGCCTCTCGATAGGGCCGAAGGGACTCAGGCCCTTCTTGACAGTGTGGAACAAAGCCCTTGGGGGGGGGAAGGTAGAGAGGCCGAGCTCCTGAAGATGCGAGCTCAGCTCCCGGAGTCGGGCTACCAAGTGAGGCCCTCGCCGGCCTGAAGAGAGAGGGTGGGAACCTCTCGCGCTACACGCCCAAATCATGCCTTCAAGTCTAGAGAAGATTCTCTCATGAGACTCGTTAGGCGATCTCCGCAAACTGCTGTCAGGGATTGGCTTGAGGTCGGAGTGGAGGAAGTTGAGGCTCATTGCAACGATATGCAAAACACGTGCAACAAGCGTCTTCTTCAGGGCCTGAGATGGCTCACCTGAAACCCCTTTGCAGTGCGGGCCACTTGCAGCAAACATCTGAAGGTCAGGGATCGGCAAGGGAAAGAGGGCGGAGGAAGGGGTTGGAGGGCTGGATCACGGATGCAAAAACACGCTCTGAGGAAGCGGGCGTATGCCGTCCCCGACGATAACACAAGCCTGGGGAGCGAGGCGGCCCAGCTCCAAAAGGTAAATTCTGAGCAAAAGCCAGGAACTCCATCAAAGGGGGAGTCAGGCACTCGGTCATGCATAGGTGTGGTATCTCTGCACTCACCCCTAGCCATGGGCGTCTCAGCAGAACCGGAAGACGGGCCTGGAGGCGGGACTACGTCACACACCCCAAGCGACGTGGCCTGGCTGGTATCACCTCCATGGTGCACGGGATCGTGGTCCAGACGTGGGGCTACGGAGCCAAAAGAGGTAGGGCTACAACCCGACAACTTAGGGTAACCAGAGTGTCGGGGAGGGCTGGCAGTACGAGCAGACCCGACGGCAGGCCTTTGCTCGTCACGCACGACAGCAGTGGCAGGAACTGAGAGGAGGGCCCGGGGCCACCAGGCAAATCATCACACTTCCGAGCGAGGTCACAGGAGGCCCGGACTCCTAGGTTCCTCCCTGATTTGCAGCTGCCTTCCGTTCGGCCCAGAGCTTGGCTCGCTGTTGTTTTCGGGTAAGCGTAGGGCCGGCTTTGGGGGCAGAGTCGCCCGGAGGTGTGGCAGCGGCCGAGGCCTTTCCCGCGGGGGCCTTTGCCATCTCTGTGCGCTTGCTTGAGAGGGTCTCCATCTCCTTCACATAGCTCAAGGCAACGGCCAGCCACTTTGGGTCGGTGAGGTGCGAACACGGCCTTATCGACCCCGCGGTATGCTGGGGAGCGGAGAACAGCTGTGCCGGCGGGTCCTCTTGCAAGGAAAGAATCCATCCAAGGTCGGGACGCCCACCGTCGATGACCGTTTGGTCTATCATGACAAGCGTCATCGCCAGCACATCCTTGGCACCTTCCACCTGGCCTGACCCTAACAAGTCGAACACCTGAGCAAGCTGCCACTGGATCAGGCCCCAGGTCCTCTGATCCTGGAACCCACCATATCTCTCCAGGTAACGGGTGAGGATGGGCCGGTTCCGCACGTCGTCTTCGAGCATCGCGAGGTTTGCCGTGGGCTCCATCCTTCTCAGGGCTGCCTCTTGCACCTTCAGGAAGAAAGAGCCGCTCCTGCTGTGCAGCTCCCTTTGCAGCTTCATCCTCGCCGCCGAACCTTTCACGGAGATTGAGCTGCTTGACCCTGTGGCCAAATCGGCCAGGGGGTCCCCTGAACCAGCCATTTGGGACACCAAGGAAGTCAGGGCCCTGCTCTGAGCCAGCAAGGCCGATGCCAAAGACCCACCTTCGTCGATGGGCTCTCCGTCGAGGTCCCCTGGAACCAAAGCACCAGCCCCCTCGTCCAGGACCGGCAGATCCGGGCTCTTCGGGGCGACGGCTTTCGGTGGTGCTCCCAATAGGCTTGCTAACCTTTTCGGTGGGGCATGTTGAGGCACCACTGTTGCGGAGACGGGGGCTGCAAGGACCTGACGCGGGGCAGTGTTTGGAGGGGCCAGCGACCCAGCTACCGGAACCACCGGCGCTCGCACTTCGGACGGGGAGCCAGCTTTTGCCAGCTGCTGCACCTGCGTGCTCAGGGCGGCTAAGGCTTCCATGATGCTCTCTTGTTGCACGGCGAGCGCGGCCACTGTGGGTTTTCGCCGAGGCTCTGCCTTTGGGCGCCGTTCCAGGAGCGGGGGCTCGGTGCCCGGAATCAACTCCTCTGCTGTGACGTAACCTGCACCTCTTTCTCCCTCGACCTGCGCCGTCCAGGACAGTGCATACGTCGCGACGGCCGTCGCAAGAGGGAAGAGCATGGGGGCCTCCTCCACGAAAGGCGTGCACTCTGCAAAACCTTCTTCCAGAGGCTCCAAAGCAACGCTGGCAGCGTCGGCGAGGTCTATGAGCAAAAACTCTATGCTCCTCGGAGGGTAGACTCCAAGCCAGTCCCCGTTCTCGGCAAGCTCCACCGCGGGAGCTGAAGCAGTCGTGTACGGCCCCACAAGGCCAACGAAGCCCTCGTTCGCGGCCTCCTGCAGGAGGCCTGCTGGCAGGCTGGCCCCTGGCACAACAAGAAGGAAACCTCCAGGCCTCTTCAGCACGCAGTAACAAACCGACGGAGGGGCTTCGGTAAGGCCTGGCAGGAAAAGTTGAGGTCTGAGCTTGAGGAGAGAAACATCTCCAGCTTCTGCTGCAGTCACATCCTCGGGGTTCATGACGTATGTTGGCTTGGGAACTCACGCCCAGCTCCAGCTGTGTAGATCCTCGCCTCAGTCTCGGTTGGCCACCCGTGCGAAAGTGAGAGGCCCCTGTGATGATCCACAAGGCGAAGATAGACAGCCCGGCTCGCAGTAACCCGGACGTCGTCGCTGTCAGGGGTGCGAAGCACCACGTAGAGCCGCGAGGGCAACTGAAGGGGCGGAGTGCAGTTAGGAGTAACGGCTCGGTTGGCCAGAACAGCCCCTGCCCAAAGCACTGCAGTCCAGGCTCTGTTTGCCCTGTCCACAGGAGTAGACACGGATGACCTCAAGGTCCGGGCCAAATCCAACAGGTGAGGTGGGATAGGAGTGAAGGAGGCCTCAATGGCAGCCCGGGATTCAGCAACACCCGTAACCGGCCCAGGACCGGTAGCAGACAGCCTACCAGAAGGACCTGACCTGTAGCCTTGTGCACCTGACGCAGAGGCAGCAGAGGCTCCACAGGCCTCGAGGGGAGCAGCCGCTCCAGCAGTTGCCTCCGAGGAGGCTGCAGCGCCCGCGGGCTGAGGGGAGCTCCTGCTCCTGGCAATCGAGATTCTCTCTCCCTCAAGTTCCAAAGACAGTTGAGTGACAGCGTCAGAGTCCGAGACGGGTGTGCCCATACAACGCTAGTCTGGCGTGACCCTGTGCAGGAGGCACGGGAGCGCGGTCCCTTTCCTGAATGAGGTGAGCAAGCGAGGAAGGGGCCCGGAAGAAGAAAAGGAGGGCCAAAGTCAAGCCCAGTCCAATGGCAGTGGTAAAACCAACAGCGAAGGCAAAGCCGAGCTGGAGGAAAGAGAAACCCTGACAATGAACCGGACACCGAAGGCCCCACAGGTCACTTCTAAGCCCTTCCGAAGCGAAAGCGAAAACCTCCCGAAGAAAGGGCGCCCACACCATTCTTGACCCAAAACATCAAGGAGCAGGGTTCACAATCGCCACTACTGTCAGCCCATTGGCATCAAGCTGGGCAGAAAGGTACAGACGGCATGAAAGAGTTCCTCCGGGACGCAGTGTAGATAAGCAGGTCGAAGAACAGCGACACGTTGTGATCAAGCGCACTCGGACTCGTTTTACTCCACTCTGCAGTGTGCCACTCCTGCATTAGAAACGGGTGTCTGAGACAACTCGATTTCCGGCTGCTTCTTGGGTTTAAAATCTCAAGCTGCGGGCGCGGTCCGACCCTGCACCAGGACGCTCGACGACAGCCTGAGAAACCTCTAAACCTGCATCGAAAGCCGCAGTAGACTCAGCAGACAAATGGATCTACGAACTCGGCCAGGGCTCTGTTTCCGAAGACTGACCGGTGACTTGGCGTTCCTTCAAAACTTCAATCGGAACCTGCACCCTCAAAGCCCCCTGTGTGGCTCGACGCTCTCGCGGGGCTGGATACCAGGTAAACCTGCATGAATCTCGCTTGCTCGCATGTCCAACTACTCAATTTCCACTGACTTGCCTTCCTTACATGCTTGTGTACACTTGCTCTGTCCCTTATCACCCTTGTGGGCTGTAGGTTCAAAACAGCCAGACCTTGAATCGTTCCCAGCTCCAGTGGCCAGGCAAGTCCTTTGCTTTCTTGCTCCCACTTGACACCATGTCCTGCACTGCTGTTGGATGCCCTCATAAGCACCATACTCTGGCTGTCTCTACAGGCATTTTAGCAAATTTTGCACTCCAAAACGCAAGAGTCCATTCCAAGCTCGACCCAGTGACTTTGGTCGACATGGAGATGAAGCGGCCCCTCCAGGGGTTGTGCAAAGCAATCTGCTCGTTCCCGGCCGGCACCACCGCGAACCGCACGCTGGTCCAGTCGTCGGGCAGCTCGAGCGCAGACTTTTTGGCGCTGGCCTTAGCCGGTCTTGGACCCACCGTATGGGAAAATGAGAACAGTCTGCAATCCTGAATCCGGTCATATATTCCTACCATTGACCACACTTGAGCATGAGCTCGCTACGATTTGCCCATAGCGTGGTCGTTTTCGCCGCTTCCTGGGTCTTATGGTACCGCATGCCAGAAGGGAAAGACGGTTTCCAAGATCACGCCGAGTTGCCCTCACCGCGCCGTCGCTTGTCATTGCCACGAAGCGATTGTACTTGGCACTGTGAAGAGCAATGAGACCACCACCCGCATCTACTACCTTGAAATACGTGTACGACCGAGTCGAATTGGGTTTGTAAGCTCCATGGATCTCACTGCGAGACATGCCTCCCGAAGCCATGCGCATGAAGCGGTGGTGCTTGAAGCACCGGAAAGCAACGACAGACCCGGGCTCCAGGTAAAAGTAAGGATGGCCTTGGACCACGGTGAAGCGCTCGTATGTCCAAGTGGGAGACAGGTCGTCGGCATTCAAGTCTTTGTCTTTCGGCCTCATGGAGCCATCCGGCCGCATCTGCACGAAGCGGCGATGGGCTCGGCAATAAAGAGCGATCTCGCCTTTACCGGCATTCACAGGCGTGAATCGCTCAGATTTCCAACCGCCTGGGAGCGTGGCCCTGTCGTCGCTCATGTCCATGTTCGTTTTAGACTTCATCCTGATGAAGCGGTTGAACTTCGGGTTGTGAAATGCGACTTCCCCGTTGCCTGCATCCACGACGGTGAAGTACACGCGCGACCACGTTTTCTTCAGGTCTCGAGCATTCATTTTTCCGGTCGACTTCAGATCCCCCCTACCTCGTCGCCTGTTCGAGGCCCTGATGTATCGCCTGTGCTTCCTCAGCTGATCTAGGGGATTTCTTGACTACTCTAAGATGCAAATTCACAGAGCTTTATCCCTAGACTGGACTCTGCAGAGCCTCACAGCTTTCCAAATTCACAGCTCAGCTTCTTGCTGTAAAGGGCGACCATGGTGCCCGGCTCGAAGAGCGTGGGCGGCACATAGTTTGTGGAGAAGGAGCGGAGGGCATCCAAAGCCTTCTCCTTGCTCTTCGAGGACACGAAGGGCAGAGCATTCAGGGTCACAGCGAACCTTCGATCTTGCTTCACAACCTGAAACACTCTCTCATCATCTTATTCTGGAAGGCCAAAAGAACAAAGGCGTCCTGGCCCTGAGAAAAGGGAGAACTGATTCCAAGGCCCTAGAGCTGGTCTACGATGTCCACGAGCTTGAGCCTCTTCTCCTCGGACTCGAAAGGCCCGAAGCCCATGCGCATGCCGAGCTCGAGGCCTAGGTGCCCACCCAGCAAGCCGCGTAAAGATTCAGCTGTTGGCTATATGCTTTGGAAGGCGTAGGGCTGGTAATTGCATTTTAAAAAATCAAAGAAGTGAAAACCCCTAAGGGGCCCTAAAGCTCCCAAGCTCTCCCAGGGACTGTTGCCGTCCAGCAGGCCCTTGAGCTGGAAGTTGATGTTGCCCGGGTGCTTGAAGCTGAAGAGCTGGAAAAGCGATGAGCTGCCCGAGGAGCTCAGGCCCAAAAGCTCCTCCTCGCAGGGCATCATGCTGCTAATTCCTAAAGGAAAGCCATTAGACAAGGGAGACCAGCCATCCGCAAAGGTATAAAGTCAATATTCACGGCCGATGAGGAGAAGACGTAGCGGATACTTATCGCAAGAATCCAACCTCCGCCCTCAACGCCAAACCTTACACCTGCACTGGATCTTACTACAGTATCACTATTGATCCAAACGCTGCGCTGCCTAAACCACAAACGAACACAACACCAGAAGTCCCATGACCTCACTGAACCCCATTCCCACTCGCCCACTCACCGAAACATGCAAAAACCCTAAAACCAAAATCGCAAGTCCCCGAATCCTGAAACCTGAAACCCAGAATGCACCAAAAGCGCATAAAACGACCAACACCGAAACAACAACACATCTAGCAAACAACCAACACCACATTTTCTCCTTGCCGGCCCACAGCACCACCACTGCAGTACCCAGGAGCAGCAGCAGCAGCAGCAGCAGCAGCCGCGGCAGCAGCAGCAGCAGCAGCAGCGGCAGCAGCAAGCACCAGCACCGGCAGCGCTTTAAGCAGCACCATCAACATCGCAGCCACAGCAGCAGCAGCTGCTGCCAGCAACGGCGGCAGCGGCAGCAGCAAGCACCAGCACCGGCAGCGCTTTGAGCAGCAGTATCAACGCCGCAGCCACAGCAGCAGCAGCAGCGGTGGCAGCGGCAGCAGCAGCAGCATAGCCTTACCCCCACCCCGCTCGGCCACTGCCTCTGCCATCTGTTCGCCACTCTGTTCGCCCTTCAACCGCCGGGCCACTGCCTCGCCCCTTAGCTCGGAGTGGGTCTTCAGGCCGAGATCCTGGGTCGCCGTTTGAAGTTTGTAGGGTTGAGGGTCATGGGGTTCAGTTTGTGGGGACTCCAGAGTTGAAAAAACGCTGGGTTGAGGGCTTTAGGGCTGAGGATTGGGGCACCGGATTGCGGGTTAGAGCTTTGTAAGTAACTACCGACAAAGAATTCAAAGCTGGACCCGAGGAGCTGGACCCAAATCCAACGAGGCCAAATAAAGATCCTGCGCAGGTATCGGATTTAAGGTTTATGTAAATTGCAGGTTCGTAGATGTTCGTAGGTAGTGAATGTAGAGAAGGATGAAAGGGGTTGTATAACAAGCAGGTTGAAAAGGATGAAAGGGTTGTATAACAAGCAGGTTGGCATAATTCAATCGCGTGTATAACTGGGTCTCACACTCCGCCTAGGAGAAGCTGTCGGGTTTCGAAGTGCCCAGGCATGAGGTGCTTAGGGTTTCTGTGTTAGGAACTACGGTTTTTGGGTAATACTCTCTGTTTGGGTACTTGGTCCTTTTTGGGAGAGCTGGGGCTCGTTCTACAGCTCGCCAGAGTTGAGGGCCATGCCCAGGACCCCTGCAACTACCCAGCCTGTACTTGGTATGGGTTTAGGGTTTAGGGTTTAGGGTTTAGAGTTTAGGGTTTAATGACTTCGTGTGACTCTCTGTAGCCACGGTGCAGCCATTGCAGAGATGCTTGGCAGAGCTTGGAGAGAAACAAATCCCGTTGCCAAGGGTCGATATCAGCTGTCCGCACTTTGAAGTGTCGAGCTTGGCGGGAGTGGTTTCGGGAGTGGTTTCGGGTGTGGGATGGCCTTTAGTTTCGGCAGTTGCCTGCTTTTCGGGTGTCAATCCAAGGATGGAGCGCCTCCATCGGAGCCTCCCACTCCAGCTGCGCCTTGTGCAATTTTCTGCAGCAGGACTGTCTTGGTGTTGTTTAGGGGCAGTCTCGGGGATGGCGGCTCAGGGTGTGAATAAGCTTTGTTGGGTGTAGGCTTCAGGATTGAGGCTTTGAGGTTGACATTAGGCTTCAAGGTTCTCACATCATTGCTCCAGTAGTGTGCCCGAAAGGGGAGTTGGTACTGCTTTCACAGTCCCCTGCGTCCCATCAGTCGCACACGTCTTGCGTTTGTTTTCCATCTGGTCTAATTTCCGGCACCCCTGAGATCAAGCCATTTCTGAACTGTTCGAGCTATGCTACTTCACATACACAGAACCAAAGGAGTTTTGATAATTCGAGGCTGTTCAGCCATGTTCAGCATTGGTTTTCCCAACTCAACCCTAGTCCTTCCTGGGACCACTCAAAACTGCTAGCATTCATTGGCCCATGCAGAAGACTTCCTAAACATCATCCGGGTTCAGTGACTAAACGATCCTAAATAGTTGCCAGCATTGCTTTGAGGTGTAAAGGAGGCATTGCATTAAACGATCCTTCCCCCTTCCAGCCCCTCCAATCCGGGCCTCGGGTGCCTCGCTAGTGTTCATGGATGGCAAGTCTTCTGGGCGGACGCTGCTGTTGGTCTCCAGGAGCCTGGACCCGCTCACAGCATGGTGCGGCTTCGTATTTAGAGTCTGGGGTTTGGGCTTGAGCATCTGCGGGATTGGTTGGGGACTTTCAAACCTGAGCATCGGACATGCCTGTACAACCATCCAATGCTTTCTCTGGTCAGTGTGAAGTCATTGATATTTGAGATCTTGGGAAGTGTCTGCAAACACGGGTGTCTCGTTTGCACAGCTGGCTGTAGATTTTGTTGACTTTGGGGTACAGGCTTGCAAATGCAGGCAATGCTAAGCCCCAAATCCTGCGCTGCTTGAGTTTTGACGGAAGCCTCGTCGCAAATCGGTGTGCTGCTCACAGGCGTGGAGTCTTCATTGGAGCGAGGGCTTGGATGGACACACCTACTACGCATCAACCACCCGTGCTGTTAATGATCATGGCCTGCTTTACATAATACCAGCATAGTTCAGTGGATTGGATCATCACGAGAACCATTCAAACACTGAAACTTTCAACTGGCAACAAAAATCTGCAGCTGGCAGTTTCTGGAACCGAGCATCTTCACTCGGCGCCCTGGTAGCAAGAGCTTCAGCGACAAAGCAGCCATGAGACCCATGAAAGAGAAACAAAACCTGCTGCAGGGCCTGCCGCCGTACTTGTCCCTCCACCCTGAAATCCGGACACCTGATGCGCCATGCCTCCACAGAAACTAACTGAAGTTCTATACCGAAAGCCCTGAATGCACATCGTCCCGAGGTGCTTGGTCCGGCTCATGGACTCCCGAGGGTTGGCGGGGCGAATCCAGGTGGCCGTGCTGCCGTAGGTATTCTTGTCCTCGAAGTCCTGTCGAACATCGGTTGATGGGGTTCTTCGACAGTGTAATAACGCCCTGAGGTTCTGCAAGTTGGGGTTCTGATTCTTAGGGCTGCGATTACTGATTCAGGTTTGGTGTGCATATTCCAAACTGCCACAAATCTATGCCCCAAACCTTAAGCTAAATCCTAAGCCTCACCGGTTCTGTCCGTGCTGCTCCCAAACCGCTTGCTCAAGCGCAGCGTGCGACTGAAGAGCCTCAGGCGTCTCTCAGACTCTCAGTCTAAATAAAGGTTTAGGGTAGTTTTGGTTTGGGAGATCTGTGTGAATGATTTTCAGTTTGAGGGTTTAGTGTTTAAGGGTTTAGGGGTATGGTGTCGAGGGTGTAATACTGTAAGCGTTTAGGGCTCTGGGTTTGCAAGGTTGAGGGTTTGGGCCGGGCGTGGCAACGGCGGTGAAGCAGCTTGGTAATCTGAGGTTTAGGGCCTTGGGATTTGACGGTACGGTACGGGCCCCAAAGTGTGGCGGTTCAGCGTTGGACTTGGCTCATAGTCTACCCTTCAATACTTGAGGTGCGGGGAGCTACGACAGTAGTTGCCAATTAAAGTCACTCAGTTTAGGGTGTACGAAGCAGCTGTCCGTGAAGGCTGTGGGATCCCTGATGTTAGGGGTTCTGATTTCGTCAGGGTTGACAGTTGGGTATTGAGGAGATAGGACCTGTACCTTTAGGACTAAGAGGTGACGGGAATTCACTCTAAAACTGCTGTTCAGGCCCCACAGCCGCTCATACCTCCTCAAGAGTTGTGAAGAGCTGTGCGGGTGAAATCAGAAATCAATGCGTTGCGTTCTTTCATGGCTGTCTTGGCAAATTCTGCCTGCCAAACCTAAACTCCGAATAATGAAACTTGCAATGCAGAGGGCTTCGCCGCGAGAACCAGTTCGAGCTTAAATGCTTCCTTTCATGCTGGGACTTCTAGGTTCGACCTCAAGAAGGGAGGCACGGCTATACATGCCTTCAGGAATAGGTGCTCCGAGCAACCAGGCAGGCTTCAAACTGCATCGAGGCCGGGGTTCAGAAGTTCCAGGTTCGCGGAGTTTAATGAACTTACGAGGGTGGGGTAGAGCGCAGTGTTGGAGCTGCAGCTTCGAGCCTCATGCATCTATCGCCTGCCGTCAGCCACAGTCCAAAGTGCACACTTAGCAAAGCTTTGCTGCAAGTCGTACTGCGGCCACGATAGCTCCAACTAGCTTGCACGCAGCTTTGTCTGATGTTGTTTATATATCTACACATAAGTGTAGGTTTTTGTGTGCATACATGTGCAAAACGTATTCTGAGCCTAAAACCAAAACCATGCCAACCTGGATCCCATTCGGCGAGGTCTAGCTGGTCTAGGGTGCTCCGTCTCGGGCCAAGGAGCGTGACTCCACATGAGCGGATCACTGTCTTCCTGTGGACATCGTCAGGTCATCAGGGTCTCCGAGCAACAGGGTAACACGTGCACAACATCACGGCCCGTGCACTACGACGTATACGATACATAACATTAAACTTGATATTTGCTGGCAGCATGGGGCAAGCTGTGCCAGGATCTTTGATTTCGGGACGTCCTCACGTCTGCAGTAGACACGAAAAGGCGAAGTATCAACAGCTCACAAAGTGCCCACGTGACTACCGAGCTGTTTTGAGAGATCCCGCCCTCTTCTCCGTGAAGGACCAAGCAAAGAAGCTAAAATGGCTCCAAGGCTCAGCTGCGTCAGATCCATTCCATCCGGGTTTCCGAGGGGCCAGCAGACTTGGGCATCCTGATATGTCAGTGTATATACATATACATACACTTATGTACCCATATATACATAAATAAATAAATATATATATATATATATTTATATTTATTTATTTATATATATGTATGTATTCACATGTTGCCACCCGCAAAAACAACCACGCCCGGGCCCGAGCTGATCAGGTACTATATCCGCCGAAAGTTCTGCCATCTGCCTGGGTTCAGGGTTCGTGTCAATAAGCGATGTTGCTCTTTGGTCCAAAAGGTTCCTTCCCTGATTTGTCCGAAAGATTCCTTCCCTGATTTGCAACGTTTAGGCCACATTTTCCGAGGGCTGCGGGTCCAGAGCTCACTCGGGATAGATGCAGGAGGACAGGCGAAGCAAACACAAGAGGTGGAGCAAGAACCGTCCATAAAACCTAGTCCAGATTTGCCTGATAGGCTTGCCGAGACTACAAGGTTTGGCGTGGGCCCAGGTGAGTTTTTCTTGCAAAAGGAGACTGGAAACAACATGCAGCCGCTTCGTGGGGACTCAGGATCGGAACCCTTAAGCTGCCACCTGGGTTGTGATTTGAGCCGTGACTTCGGCCTTGAATGTTTACGGTCGGGGTTTCACTCCGGTGGTTTGGCCTGCTAAAGGACCGGCTGATTCGAGACCCATTGCATGCGCATCGGGGCGCAATCCGCCTTTGCTTGCTACCAACCACCCATGCATGCATGAACTCAAACCACTTACCGTGCAGCTGCGACTGTGCCCAACTGTGCAAGTGCGAACGCGTGAGCGGATGCCAAGCGCAGCTCCTTTGCTTTGCATATTCACGCCAAAGCCTTTCTGAACCCTCTCGCCTTTGATCTCGTCCCCTGTTGTCCAAACTACACGTGCAACCCTGAGCTAGTAAACTCTTCTGAGCTCTGCTTCCGTCTGGAACCCCAACCAAATCTTCCACGACATCATAATTAGGTCACAAACGCACTCCGTAGTTGAAGTGT